CCACCTCGTCGGCGCCCTCCCGCCCGCAGACTGCGCCGAGCCTGAGAGCTGGGAACCCGCCCGCCCTCCCGGAGAGTCTGCCGCTGACCTGCATTGACGTCATTGCGTCATTAGGTTTCCCCTGGAAACACTGGCTCGCCCGAAATAGTAACACATTAATTCAGGCCGGGGGAGCGGGGAGAGACTGTGTGTAACCCTGCGGCTCACTTCGCGCGCGTGCGGCAGCCCCCACCCCTCCTGAGGGCCGCGCCGGCCACTCTCTCCTACTATTTTGAGAACAAAGGAAGGCAAAATACAGCACCCCGGAGAGAGGGTGCGGGGGACGCCTAGACCCTCTCGCCTTGCACCCGCGCACCCTCAGACACACATGGGTACGCACATCTGAGTCTGTCCCTCGGGCGGGCATTCCCCGCGTTCAGCCTTTCGGACACCTGCTGGGGCGTGTGCGCCCGACGCCAGGCACGCAGGGACAGGTCCGAGGCAGAGCTTCCCGCCCTACTGGGGTTGAGGCACTAGATCCCTCGGCCACCGGGATCCAACACAAGGCGCTCTCCCTCCCTCCACCACCCCCACGCAGGCCCGGGCTCCCCTCCCATCCGCGCACCCAGCCCTGCCCTCCGGGGGCTCCCGGCCTCCGTCTGCGGGAGAACCTGCGGAGACCCCGCCCGGGCGGGGATCGGTCCGACCACAAGCGGCGTCTCCACGCCTCATAGGGTAGGACTTAGGGTTAGGACCGAAAGACTGCGGGACAGGGTTGCTGTCGCAGGTAGTCAGGAGAGTGAGCGATTACTCTGAGCATCCCCTGCGCTTCGCGGCCCTAAACGAGCCAGCCCAAGGCGAGCCCCTGGCTTCACAGGCTCTCCCTAGCTGTCCGTCCTTTCCGGGTCTGGCCCTTGACTCAGTTTCTCTCGGAGGGTCGGGAGAGCGCTCATCCGATCAGAACAGCGCCCGGTTTCGGGCTGCGAGCAGAGGCGGGAGGCGACGGGCAAGGCGGAAGAACTCGGAGGGCGCAGGAAGAAGCGCATGCCTGGCCCGCGGAGGGGCGCGGCTGGGGCTGCGGCTGCGTAGGTAGGGAGCCAGGTGGGCCAGAATACGGACAGGGTCCTCCTTCCCCTTTCCCCAGTGGCCGCGACGGAGTCTGGCAGGGGCACAGACAGGTGTCTGCTCTTTCAGTTCAGCCTTATTTTGCTTCTGCTCCGTCAGGCGGGGGAGGAGGGTGAGACTGGCATGCAGGGACGCTTTCTCAGTGTGCCCAACCCTGGAGAGAGGAGAGATGGCCCCTGAGCTTCCTGTCGGGCCTTTTCTTGTTGACCACAGAGATGATGGAAGGGCCATTAGACACAAACTGTCCCCTCGGGTAGGAGCCAGAATAAAAACAAGATTTGGAAAGGACCGGCCTGGCCTTGATGGGGAAGTGACTGCCAAGTTGAACTGTTTAAGTCTGATGACGATCTCTCAGGCCAGAGGAAGAGACTGGTGCTGATGGTGAGGGACTAAAAGAGGCCTCCCCATGTCTGTGAGAAATGTCCCAGGCCACCCAGCTCCAGGGAGGGAGGCCCTGGGACAGTATCCTTCCTGCCCTTCTTGTACCCTAGGGGAGAGTGCAGACTGTGTCTGGCAACCCAAGAGGATGAGATACCGAGGGCCAAAGCCACAATCTACCCAGGGAGCTGCTGGGTAGGAGAGCCGGTGTCTTACCATCACGGGACAGACTCCGGTCTCACCCAGCCCATAGCAGTGTCCAACAGCAGCTGCAGGCCCCCTCCACACAGATGCAGGCCTGTGACTAATTCTTTCAGTGGCCCAGCCTGTCCTGCCTGGCACATTGTCCCCCAAACAGTCTCAGCTTCTTTGCATCCCAGCCCTGTCAGCATAACCACTCCAGCCTATGACTCCCAAGGCCCTGTGGCATCACCTACTATAACACACTTCATCCTCCAAAGAAGGCACTCTTCATGTGGAGAGGGACAGTTACACCGCACTGTACCCTGCTTCATCCTGGCATGCTTCTCCCAGCTAGTGCCTCTGCCGCCATCTCTGGGGGCTTTGGTAACAGGGCCTTGATCAGACTGTTCCAGTAATTGGGTGTGTTGTAAGGAGATGCACAGGATAGGGAGTTGGGATCTGGGCATGTGCATACATGGCAGGCATTTCTATGCAGAGGAGGTACCTAGAATGTCATCTGAGGCCCAGGGTGCTCTATGGATTCCCTAGGCTGCCTCATAGCTCTGAGGTAGCAAGGAGCAGGACAGAGGACAATGATCTGATAAAGAACCCAGGCTGACTCCCCAGAAGCTGTGTGAACCACATCAACCCCCAACTTGGTTTGTAAGAACAATCTAAGCCAGAGAAGACCTATGGTCTCCTGCAAAACACGGTCTGCCAGAAGGCTTGTTCTGCCCTCCCTCCCAAGGGAAGAGGGACCTATGTTGGCAAGGGACTCAAGAAGAACAAGACTGGGTTGGGAATTAGGAGAACTTCTAATCCAACCATGGTATAACTCTAGAGGAAGGATGTACTCCCTACCTCCTGACTGACTTTGGGCCTCTGGTGGTCATAGGCCCTCTCCTGCCACCTAGCCTTGCACCTGAAGGCTTCTTACCCTTTCTTGTCTGGCACCCTCCTGTATGAAGCAAAAATGTTATAGGCTCCTAAGTTCTCCCCATTAATACAAGTGAAGAGCCATTCTCTCAGTCACTCAGCAACCTCATTTGACCAAATACCACTTTCCTTCCAGTTGTTCCTTTTCCAGTTCTTTTTTCTTAACTACCAGATTTTGTCCTCGGTAGGCCCTACTCAGGTTTTGCACTGTACATTTCCCAGCCAGTGGGTCCAACATGTCCTCTGCATCTGAGAACATGGGAGCCTCTACCCACACTTCTTTCCTCCAATACTCTGCTGCCCCTGGCCCACACCCACAATCTGTTTTCCAAAATACAGCTGGTTTCCAAAGCCTAGGAGAAGATACTGAGTCAAAGATACCATTCGGAGGGACCCTGAGTTCAAATATTGTTTTCTGATAGAGATATCACTGTGCTTGTTGCTGTTTTAGGCAGAGGTGGTGGTAGCTGGGCATCATGTGATTAAATGTAGAGAATTTACCAAAGATCTGGTGGCATAAAGCCAAGAGATAATTCAAACTAAAGGGCTAGAATGGACACCAGTGTAGCTGAGGAGGACACATTTTACAACCAGCATTTGGAAAAAGGAATGTTCATGCCAGCTGAAGAAAGCAGGTCAGACCTACAGATGCTTTGACTGAACTCCAAAGACAAGTAGGATGTGGGTGGGGAGGGGGAAGAGGAGAGACAGGGGCAGACGGGAGCCCTGGACAAAGCTGTGTTCTCCCCCTGGCTTTCCATTAGAATCTCCTGGGGGTTGACTTGGCCTCCACCCAAAGCTAATGTGAAGATACCCAGGCCCCACTCCCAGAGAATTCTGGTTTCATTGGCTGAGAGTGAGGCCTAGGCATTTATAGTTTGAAAATTTTCATTTGTACTTTGTGATTTATTGTCAACTATCTGTGTTTTTTTATAATTTGTGATATAGTTCAGTAGACTAGAGTAGTGATTTAGAGGCAAGACCTCTCCCTTAGAATCATGGCTCCCTGCTCTCTGACCATCTGAACAAGAATGATGTCCTGAGGTTCCTAAATTTCTTCTTTCTTCCTCTGTAGAATGGTGACAATAATAGCTCCTTCATGTCCTGTGGTTGTTTTGTAGCCTCGTGAGATAATGCTTTCAAGTGCGGATCACAGCCCCCTTCATACTGGTTCTGTTAAATGGCTCTGCAAATAGTTCTAACGGATAGCCATGATTGAGAGCCTCCAGCACGAATGCAAAGGCAAAGCTAGGACAAAACAGGCTGCTAGGGATGCTTTGGTGTTGAGAAGAATGTGTAACAGAGGGAGAGAGGAGGAACTGAAAGTCATTATAGTAGGGACAATATTGTGTAGCTCAGGGTGAAATGTTGATGCCTTATCTACTAAGCATAACAGAAACCCCAATTTTATAGTTTGAAGATACCGCATGACAAGAGGGAGGTAGCACATCAGGAATCGTGTGTGTGTGTGTGTGTGTGTGTGTGTGTGTGTGTGTGAAGTCTTGATTCCAAGGAGGAGATGGAGTCCAGAGAAGAGTGTGGGACTGGGAGCACTGTGAAGACTTCGAAGAAAGGATGAGTGTGAGGTGAAGCACAAAGCAGGAGTCAATAGATTTAAGACCTTAGCGGACATAAGGGCTTAGAGAGATTGAGGGAAGAAAAATACAGTTAAGCTTCTAATCTAGGAAGACTAAAGAAATAGCTGCTATGTTGATTAAGATTATATTTGACTGTGAGTATCAAAGCAACCAGCAGTGGCCTAAACAAAGTAGAAGTTTTCATCTTCACCAGTTCAAAGTCCAGAGGTGGGCAATTCAAAGCCAGTAAGGCAGTTCTGCTCCATAAAGTCCTTGGAGATCTGGACTCCTGCCATCCCTTCTCATGGTGCCAGACAACAGTTCTTAGGTTGCAGCATCCAAATGGAGAAGAGCTGGTAAAATTCAAGAGCCAGTGTCTCTTGAGGATGATTTCTTTAGCCACTTGTCATGTTCATGTACATTCCTTTGTTCTGAAATTTGTCTCCTGGCTACACCTAGTTGCAATAGAATCTAAGAACTACGTGGTCTTTATTTTCTAAGTAAACTTATACCCAGCTAAAAATTCTGTATTCAAAGTGGATTCTGTTTCTGTACAAGAAGAGGAATTCAGATACTAGGGAAGAGCTGAGTCTCTAAGCTACGTCTTTTTTCTTTAAATAGTGAGCTTGAATCATAGAGTTCATTTGGGAAATACTTTTAATATGTTGAGTTGGAAATATGTGGCCTGATTTGTTATGGTTTACATCTAGATGTCCCCCAAGAGCCTCATGTGCT